GCACCCCTTTTCCTGAAATGATGGGCATTGATGCTATTTTTGAAAGATTAACTAACAATAGTAAATAGATCACAGTTCCCGTAAGGGTATTTATGACACAAGAATATAAAATCCGGAAGTGAGAGTAAAGAGAAAATTTTAAGTGGTTTGATTCATTGTTTTGGCCATGTATTTATAGCTTACATGGTGTCTCTTTATCAATGGTTACAACAATTGGAATTGAGTTTCTATACCCAAGAGTCGCAATGTTTCAAAGCATTGTGTCTTTGAATTTCAAATTCAAACCAAACAACTTTCCAGATTTGTTTCTTCCTGCGGGAAGGTTATGAATCACCAGTAATTGGGATATGATTTGGTGTGAGAAAATCCACCATATTATGGTGTGAACACCTTTCATACATTCATCTCCTACTTGATCACACTATAATATTGATGATAAAACCTGAGTTTGGCATGTTTACCTTGGTACCAAAATTTTGCCTTACGCCAATTTTTTTCTATGAATTTACCTCATAGATCGACTTTCGATTGTGACTTGGCCATACGTGCGCACGTTTTTACCACCAATCTGACCGCATTCGTAGAAGTGTTTTCCCACTGTTAACACATTCCAAATGACTTCAATTCACTATATTTCAAGTGAATGACATCAATTTTCAGTGTTAGGTTCATTGTCCATAACCAATCACTATTAACGACTTCAGCCGCACACATTTCTCATGTGTTGACTTGCGCCGAAATTATTGTTAAATACTTCCTTTAAGGCTCATTCCTAAAGGTTTTCTTGAACACACCTTATTAACGACTTTTTGCTGATCAAGCAAACAACATCATCTAGTTAGCATGTTGCATATCATAAACTTTATATCTCATGCTAACTATGATGTCCGTACCTTGTAAGTTCCTCTACCTTATTACTTGACCAAACATATGTTTCTACGCAAGATAGAGTCGCATAACATCGGTTATCCAGGTGTTCCTAAATTCATCCGACCATGTTTTTATATAAGTAGCTAAACTACCTAGCTAGGCATTTTTCAATCCCATATTAGCTACATGTTCCCTGAATTTTTCCAGAGACAACCCTTTGGTCATAGGGTCGGGCACCATCTCTTCTGAGGGTTTTTTTTTTTTTTTTTTTTGATCGGCAAAATGAAAACTTTATTGATGAAACCAAAATATAATACATATGAAATACATCAATAAAGCTAGGCAGGAGCAACAAGCATCATAGTGGACATTCGACTCCCAACGAGGTTGGCACCAAGAGGAACACACAATCATGTGCAAGCTCAAGCCAAAAGAGTTGGTTAGAAACCAACAAAAAAAAAACACCAAAATAAACTACCAATCATAAAACCACCTCACCAAGTTTCAAGAAAACAAACTGGCAAAAAACCACTCAAACACACAACTAGAATGACCACCCAAATCATATGACAACCCAAATCCTTATATATCACACAGCAATATCAGCAGCAGCAGAAGGACAAAACAGTGATAAACTCCTCTCCTGCTTCACCTATGTGATAACTAACATTGAGCAGCCATCCAGCATCAGACCACCAAGAATCCCAACTCCATTAGTCCACCACTCCCTTGTAGATTACATGGACATAAGCATCCTTACAGCAACAAGACATCCCAACGCCAAGCAGCCTCATAGCACTCCCCTCGTACCACCACCCAAACAGAATCTAATATGCTTCAATTTGAAATAAAATCATGCACTGTGAATTGATGATCCCTAAACACTTCATTGAACCAAACAGCCATTCTAAATTTTATCAGATCACTCACAGCTGCCACATTTGGGACAATATCCCCAAAACAAGCATTCATTACGATGTTTCCACAAAGACCGCATTACTGTTATAGGAAGAGCTTCCCACATCATCCTCTCTTTTCAACTAAGCCTAACCCCTGCCCACCAATTAAGAGTACCCTCCACTGTATCTAGCAATGCACCTTGTACATCCCACCATCTTAGCATTTCTGACCACACTCTCCAAGCAACTGGGCATGACAGTAGGACATGGTTAAGTGACTCATCCACAGATTTGCAAAGGATGCAGGGGGTTAATGCATTAGCATTCAAAACACCAATCCAGAGAAGAAAGTCTGTTGTCTTTAACCTTCCCTTCCAAAAAATTGAACTCTAGGAGGAATGTACTTTACCCACACCCTTTTGCTAGTTAAACTATATCTGCCAAAACCACCTGCCATAAATTTATACAACGATTCAATGGTAAACCTCCTTGTTTTGGAAGCATCCAAAACCAATGTATCTTTTGTAGATGACCTAATAGCAGGACCTGCCTCTAATGGCCTAACAATCTGGTAACCTCCACTCTTTCCCAATCATAAAGTTCCTTTTGGAATTGGAACATCCACTCACATGTAGCCTCCTTCCTTTCCACCATTGCAAATAAAGACTCTCCCTTGTTTAATAAAAATCTATATAAAAGTGGGAACTCATCTTTGAGGCACAAATTTTCACACCATTTATCAACCCAGAACTTCACTCTACGGCCATTGCCCACTTCTAACTTACAATTTTCCAGGAAAAAAACTCCAAAAGGTTGTTTTTCTGTTTAGTGCCTTCGACTACATCCTTCCAAAGTTTTGAGCACCTGCTAATGGAACTAAGTGAAGGCCTCTGATTCCCCTCATCTACCCTATATTTGCTACATATGAACTAAGTGAAGGCCTCTGATTCCCCTCATCTACCCTATATTTGCTACATATGACTCTTCTCCAAAGTTCTTTGCTTTCAACTCCAAACCTCCACCACCATTTCAATAAAAGGCAATCATTGACCTCACTGACTCTCCTAACCCCCAATCCCCCTTGCTCATCAGGTTTGGAGACTTCCTTTCATTTTACTAGGTGAACCTTCTTTCTTAATTCAGACCCTCCCCAGAGGAATGAGGCGTGAAGCTTATTTTGTCTGAGTTTTCTTAATTCAGACCCTCCCCAGAGGAATGAGGCGTGAAGCTTATTTTGTCTGAGTGAGTCCAAAATAACCCACTTTGGAGAGATTCCTGTCATCTAAACAAACAAAGGATACTCTAGCGGGTATGTAGCAGATTCAATTGTTTTTACAAAGACAAATGGCTCACAAAATTTGAGATACATTTTTTTTTTTTTTTTTTTTGGTCTTGCAGTTTTATTTGACATGACTTGCAGTTTTATTTGACAAGAAAAAACACAATTACAACGAACTAGGGGAAAACTTAGAAAAAAACAAACAAACACAAGATCAAAACCAAAGCCTAAAACGAATCAAACTACAAAACAAATGAAGACAATAGAATCTGAAAATTGCAGAAACAGGTCTGCACCATTATTGTAACAAAGAGCAAGGCAGCCCCAATCCAAGCTTGCCAATTGTAAAAAGAATTCTTAACTCTCCTTACCCTGTGCTTGGTTCATGAATTTGGAAAGCGATTTTAAAAACGAAAGGGAAAAGGTATGTCAAATATGTGTAAAATATTATTACATTTCACACACTTTTTCTCTTTCTGTTTCGAAATCCCTTCCTAAATCTATAAACCAAACACAACCTTAGTGAAGAAGCTCTAGCTCTAATTTCCTTTACTATTTCAGCCACAAACACTTTCTTAGATCTAAAATTATGTGCAAAGGCTCTCTCATTCCTTTCCAACTAGATTTGATTCAGAGTACAATCTAAAGAAAGCTTGAATAAAGTGCAGCTCAAATTCCTATTATTGCAAAAAGAAATTGCCCATTGAAATTCACCAGACCTACCCAAAGGACGTCTGTTAATATAGTTCAAGCTAAGCATTTTTTGCCATATACTCTTAGTAAAAGGACACAAGAAGATCAAGTGTTCACGGGTTTCTTCTTCATTCTTGCATAGACTAAGGTGGGGTGCCTTATTTGCTAGAACGATTGGACAATCAAACCTATTTATTGATTCAATAGAGGCCCAAAGAGGTGAATAGGATCCCAAATAAGGAGAGATACGTAAAAAGTCCGATTGCGTCTATTCCTAATCCTAAATGGAATGTAAGGATCCATATATAAGTATCTATTTAGATGTGCTCGAATAACCCCTTCTCATAATGAGAATGTATATCCCTATTCCGGTCTAGTCCAGTATAGAATGAACTTATAATCATGGAATCGACTCGATCATCAAATTATAGATTATACGTTTATAACCCTAGCCCATTCCCATTTTGAACATAATAGATCTCAACTAATTCTTTGATTCCAATTAGTAAGAGGGATCCTGAACTAACAAATAGACCCTACAAAGAAGATTCACTTGCATATCCCAATTCAATAATCTGTCTTTGGTTGCTAACCTCTGCAAGCAAATTAATCAACGAATAAAAGCCCATTGCGGGACATGTCCCTGAAACCAAACTATTTGATAACATGGAACCCTTGCCTTTATTGGTAAGCAGATTTGGAGGAATATGTAACCATTTTTTGAAGGCAGCCAAACCACTTCATCAGACCTAGCAGTATTAGGAAGGAAAGTAGATGGGGTTAAAACAACTAATGAGGATCCTCTCCTTGCAGCTCTTGTACTTGCGCCCGTCCATTATTAACTATATATTAGAAACCCTTGCATAAACAGCTCTACCAATATTTTGCACAATACTACTTCCAAATTGTATATAAAGTGGCCCAATAGGGTGTCAATTGTCAACTCATAAAAAGGTTGATCTGCCATTACCTGTTTTATGCTGAATAAGAGTTGCCCAATCTCTCTGAGTTTGAATATTAATTACAATCCAACACAATCCACCATGACCACAAAAAGTTAAGACATTTCTCAATCTACAAAGAATAATGTTCTTTCCTCTCTTAGAACCCACACAGCCAATACCAGAAAGTAACATCTCCATAAGGAGAAAATTACTGTCCATCAGCTCAAACCAGCCCAAGCTACTGGGAAAACATGTAAGAAGAAGAAGAAGAAGAAGAAGAAGAAGAAGAATTACTACAAACCTCAAATATTTTTAAATTGTCTATTTCCGGAAGAGATAATCATACATTTTCCATCCTCAAACAATATAAAAAAGATACAGACGTAAATAATATATATATATATATATAATAAAAATAAAAATAAAGAAAGAAAAAGAAGCTGAGGGGGGTATATTAAAAAACAAAACGAGCTCAACTAGACACCAAACATCAAATCCATAATTTTGGACACCACAGATTTCACAGGGGTGGCAATGGTACCCACTGATTGTGGTGCACTATTGTTTCCATTTTGAAGATAGTATGGGTGAGGAGAGGCTCTCAAAGGATTTGGGTCTGAACTTTTACTCAATGGTGCAGGGGGTAAAGTCATGAATCCGTGATTGTTCATCCTTTCATTCAGCATTTGGCGTTGTGCTGGATCAACTGGCTTCACTCCGACAATCAGAACTCCATTTATTTGCATTCCATTCTTGCTGAGAGCTTTCTGAGCATCAGACCGATTCTGCATGAAGAAGTAAACAAATGAACAAACGTTGTATAGTTTAATGCCAACAAATTCAGAAACAGTAAGCTATGTGCACAAAATCTGTACACAAAAATATACCCAGAGAGTTTATGTATAGTTGAGATTCAACTCTTATATAGTGAAATCTATATCTTAAATAAATCACGACCATACATTAAAATATTTTCAATCATTTTCTGTGTACGAATTATCTGTATCTAGCATTGATTCCCTGTTGTCATAGCATGCCTGCTTTAACTAAAATTCTAAATATGATAGATATAAATTCAAAAACAAGTTTTTGTAATCAGAATTAGATTGTTTAGCAGAGAAATTACTATAAATACAACAATAATGGATAAGAACTCATGTTTTGCTGTTTCAATCTTAGCATATTTATGTATCCTATTGAGCTTCAAAAAGTTAGTGCCTTCAACCTCAGACCAGCACAACTTGAAGCCATAGCTAAAATGTTTTACTAAATAAACTTTTGTGGGAATAATTGCTAAAAAAAATTCAATATATTTTGGTATAAACAACTGATAAAATGGACATTTTAAATATCAAACACATGATTATATATTCTGACTGAGGACTGACAAAAGTCTGATCCATTTAATGGTTACAAAACCCCAAACCATGAAGAGTAGATTGCATTAAGAATCTCTACACCTAGCACTGGTTGAGGAAATAAAAGAGAAAACAGCACTAAAGAATTTTCTTGAATATATGTAAAAGAGCTACAAATTCTTTGAAATCACCCAGAAGAAGAAAAACAAAAACAAAAAAAACAAAACGTAAAATAAAACCCTGGTACTAAACCAAATCAAACTAAGCCTTAAGTCCTATCAAATGGAATGGGCTACATGAATCCTTCTTCTCCATTCGACTCTATCCAAGGCCATTTCGTTAGTCAAATCGAGAAGGTTCATATCTCTATTTACTACACTAGCGCACGTCAATCTAGGTTTGCCCCTTTCTCTAATACTTCCATCTACCATCACTGTATCGCATCTTTTCACTACTGCTACTATTGGTCTCCGTTGTATAAAACCAAACTATCTCAATCTATTCTCTCTAGACTTTTCTTCTATAAGTACTACTCCTACGCATTCTCGAATATATTCATTCCTAACTCTATCTTTTTTAGTCTTGTCATACATCCACTTTTGCATCCTCATCTCAACAGCACTCATCTTATTTACATGTTGTTTCTTAGTTGCCCAACGTTTCGACCCATACAACATCGTTGGTCTAATAGCCGTTCTATGAAAAAAAGAAAAGATTAACATCCCTGGTGTAATAGCTGGTTTTCCAACAGTAATAGAAAAAAGATTAAAAAGTTGAACTGCCTTACAGTTTTGCTAACTGAACACAAGATCCAAAAATAAAAGGGAATTCAACAATTAGAAGGGTCCTATAGCTTCCATGATTTTTGAGTCCACAAAATGTTGCTAGTGAACAACTTAAACACGAACATTCTTCACATGTACCACCACCTTGTTTTTCCATTAGCATATGTTTGTAAGTAAGAAGAATGATTTGCAAGCTTTCTATTTACGAAAAATGATAATGCTATAAGCCTGCAGACAAACAATATGAACGATACTACAAAGAGACGCATCTCTGAAAAGCTTGAACTGCCACACAGATCAAGGTGTTAATCAAAGGCTGTCACAAAAAGTACTGCTCATGGAGATTGGCAACATGTTCCATTCTAGGGGTTTCTTGTTCCCCAGCAAATCTTTTCCAAATAGTTACATGATGATTATGATCATTTTCACATTTACCATCACCTTGTCAGTTTTCATTCCCATTTAGCATATATTTTAAGGTAATACAGCTAACTTGAATGGCATGGAAGATTTTTTAGTCACTAAATGGATAATTCCATCAAACCCAGTGAGAGAACAATTTTAGAATAAAGTTAAGAGAAATAAATGCTGAACAAACAAATTTCAATGCGAACAGCTCAAACTTGAAACTATGGGAGGAGAATGGGAAAAACCTGATACAGAATATGCATCCAATTAGCATTTCTGGGACCCGGAACATGTTTCAAAATCACACCACATTTTTCAAACTCCCGCAGAACAAAATTGGTGTCCCCTGGAGAAAATCTGGAAGAAAGATGGTATCAGAGGTCTAGAACATTAATAATTACTGAAACGTAGTACATACAAAATACACATTTATAACAAACACAGCATTAAGGCATTAGAATGAAGTGGAATAATCAGATACAGCTCCTACAAGCTTAAGTTCCCTAGAGTCATTCCCCTATTGTGTAACAAATCCAGAAGGCACCTGACCTCTAGAAACCCAATTTAAAACTTTACATTCTGATAATACCATCAGTTGTTGCCTATTCTCATTAATTTTTTTACATCTGACAATACCCTTTTGGAGGCAGTATCTTTCTTTTAGAGGTAGAAGTGTTGTGACATGCTCAATTCAGTATTTTGCACATTTGCCTTGCCTCTACATCATATTTTGAATGAAATTTATTTTTTTTCTGGCTTTCTTAACTCAGCCATACCCGTTTATCCCCTCTAAATATGCCTGTATCAAGCCCATACTCTAAATCCATCCAGCTGTGTCAATCATCTGCATGTGCTTGCTACTTTTTGAGCCTCCCAACTTACTAGCCCAGGCTCTCATCCTTTCTGTTAATTGTTTCTTCCTCTTCCCTTTGTATAATATCACAAACTCCCTTCTCACCTATACCAACCATGGTAGTTAGAATTATACAATTCACGATTTGATATGAAATTCACATACACAATTCGAATCATATTGTTGAATAAAAAATTGAGTGAATCATGCAATTCAATTGCGATTCACTACAATTCACTGCAATTCAATTCTATGTCCAAGTAACAAAATAGCTTCTAAACTAATTCCAACTTCCTATCAATTTCAACCAAACCACAGAAAGTTCTTCTAGCTTGATCTTAATTCAATTTTAGAAGTTATTGGATGTTTGTTAGTGGAATTTCTAGGTTAGTGCAGGAGGCTCTAGAAAACTAAAATATCCTTGTGGCACTCTAGCTGATTTCGTAACCAAATACGACTTTAGATGTCTTCTAGTACCAGTATACAAGGGTTCATGTTCAAACAAAGCTCGAGAAATGTTTCTACTTGTGAAAAGGAATCTTTTGGAGGTATTCATTGAGAGGCTTAAGAAGTTTGGTAGTTTGGGTACTTTAACAACCCCTTTGAGGTGATTCATTAGGTAGCTAAAAAGTAAGGACACTTTGATGAAAAAGAATGTCATGTCAGACAGCCAATTGAGACACCGACACTTCTTCAACATGTCTAAGTTAAAAATTTAAATTCATAATATCGAAAATTTTATAGACACTTCGCGGACATTTTGGCGACACTTCTTAAGCTCTCCGAACATGAATTATGTGATGAATCTTTCATAGTAACACTGTCATGAATTCTTTGGAATGCAACTTATGCACTCCAAATATGTTTTGAGACATTTATAAGATGACTATCTCGTGGATATTTTAATGTTCTATAATTGTTTTGCATTCTTAGCTAGTCCAATAGCTACTTCAGCGGCTGCAATAGCTATAACAAAAATTGAGAAAACAGCTCCTTTTAATTGATGATTATCAAAAAAATCAGAAAATGTTACAAAATTTATATTAACTGCATTCAATATAAGTTCAAATACAATTGTTATGTGCCTGATATCTTTATGTTTAAATAACAAAATATATACATTTTTAATTTTAATTCGTGTAATGCTGCTTCTTTTTTTTCTTTTTCATTTTTTTTCATTACCTTTGACATATAATAAATTTATAAAAAAATATCAACATATCTTGCATTTTTTGAAAATCGCCATATCGACATGTGTGTGTCATGTCACATGTCTATGTCTAATATAGAAATTGAATTGTTAACTTGTTGTATTTCAAAATTTGGTAGTTTGGCATTGTTTTCCATACTTCATTGAGAATGATTGTTTTGAAAAAGGGAAAGAACAGGGCTAGTGGTCTTATATGGGATCATGATTTATAGACTATGGTTTGATAGAAATGATAGATTACTTAAAATAATTGATCAATTTGGAACGTTTTAATAGAATTATGAATTATTATGCTTATTTTTATTTAGTTATCTCGTATTGAAATTTGGATTTTTTAGTTTCTTATATGGCGGCATTTTGAATACTTTTTTCTCTACAGCTTACAGCCTTTTTTTTTTTTTTTAATTAATTGTTTTCTTTAAAGTGAATTTATGAACATAGATAAGAATGTAATACACAGAACTTACATCCACATCTTTAGACATGGAGGCAACTGCTTCACTTATTTGTTCACATGCTCACCATTCACAAGTTATGCATCAATATATGCTAAATCATTACATTAACAATAGTCCATTCACAAGTTATGCATCAATATATGCTAAATCATTACATTAACAATAGTTTTCTTAAATTGCTTCATTTATTTGATTATATGGTCACCATTCACAAGCTATGCATCAATATATGTTAAATTATTATATATTATTCGCACTAGTTTTTAATTGACACGTGCACACATGTTTTTCTCAATATTTCAGAAAGTGTTAAAGCGTCTCAAGATTCATGATTCAAAAAAGAAAATTTCAATTTATGATTTGTATATCGATTTAACAACTATGCTAAATATGAAAAAAGTTCCAGCCAAACAAAGTTTACAAATTTATCAAGTACGAGGCTAATAGATGTGTTGATCTTTTTGCTAGGGAGGCTTGCCTCATACCCAAGAGATGTGGATTTTTTTATAAACCACAAAGAGGTATTCAGAATTTGTTACTGCAAGATATGGAAGGTACAGATTTCCCATTCTAGTGTTTTGGGCATAGTCACCTGATGTACCCAAATTAAGTAATAAATAAACATACAAAGAATAAAAATAATAACAATACAATATTAGTAATAAATACAGGTTAAATGAGTTCCAAGGCACAGATATGTCCTTTCGTTGAACACTCTTTTTGACAAGATAAAGAACTAGATTAAAAAACAATAAATTATAGAAGATAATAAAGAAGTCCAAAGTATTGAATTAGGAAATATGGGGGGTGCCACTGTAAGAGAAAACATAGACTACCAGTTGATATATAAGAATAGGACACCTGTACCAACAAAGAAAAAGGAGTAAGTGAACCATGCACTATTTCTCTTCTCCTCTCTAATATATTTGTGATTCTATTTTTTTCTTCTCAATCTTTTTTTTTTATATATAAATATTTTGGTAGAAACACTAATTTTCAACTTTTCACTAGTGTTTCATGTCACTTTCCCATAAAACAAAAAACGTTTTGACTATTTTAATGGAAATGAAACTAAATTTTGTTCCTTATTCCTCAATAGAAAACCAAATGAAGCCCCCAACAAACCCCTCAATGACTAACACCCATAGAAACAAAGACCCAAGAGATAGTTTAGTACTGGAAATCATCCCATCTTCAATCACCCTAACATTTCACCCAAAAGCAGCAATAGGCGAAAATCATCATCTACAATCAGCTAATTCTTTACAATTATGCAACAACTTGTCCTCTTTTTCTTTTCTTAATGAGCAACAAAAATATGCAACTTGTCATGATCATTGGAAAAATTAAGCCATGACATTAAAAACTGCATAGATGAGCACTAACAGACCATAACCAAATCACAATTACATGGAAAGGGATAGTTAGAACAATACAATACCCATAAACAGTGACCCATTCTTCCTCATCAAGATTTCCCACAGGCAAAGAATTCCTCTGCATTTCCGGTCTCGCAACATCCCTTGGAGGCGGTAAGATAATCAAAGCACCCGGCTGCACTACAGCCTCGACTGGAGAACCCTTGCCCTTCTCATCTTGCTCACCACTCTTCCCAGGAGACCACCAACTCAAACTCCCCACAGGGCTCTGCTGATTTTGCTGCTGCAAACCCATTACAGCATACGAAGTGCTCGTCTCGGACTTGCTCTTTGGAGTCGAAAACTCCGGTCCCGAACTCCGGACCGGAGTTTTCGAGTCCGACTTGATTTCAGGCGAAACGGGAAAGTCCGGAATTCCAGATTCCGGAGAGAAGTCCGAGCGATCTTCGAGGGTGAACACGGGCGGAGGAGGCAGATCGGAGGTTGCAAAATTCTCGCGCCACAGAGCTGAAACAGCTGCTGCTTGACCTGGAGTTGTGAATTTGCCTCCTTTACGGTTTGAAATTGGAGAAGCTAAGTCATGGAAGAACAACGATTGTCTTCCAGATTTAGGAGTTCTCTGTACTGTGCTGCTCATTTGCTTCTCCTATGGATGTAAATCAACAATGAATCAGTTGAAGATAATCGATAAGAAAAACACTCAGAACACTCAGATAAGATACAAATGAGAAGTACCTATAGTGAGGATCGATGAGGGTTTTGAGATTTAGGGGGTTTTGAATTCTTTCAAGTCAGAGCACCCCAATTGAAAAAACCCTAGTATGAAGTCGCTTGTCGCAATGTTTTGAAAATGGAAGGGGGCCCGAACCAGAAAAGTGATCGGACCGGGTAAGAACCGGAACATAGATTGAGGGATTATTTTATAAGATTTTTTTTTTTTTTTTTGAGGATATATTTTATAAGATTAGACTATTACTTCATCTGAACTAATAGTTTTTTGTTTATTTTAATTTTTTGCTCCGAATTAATAGTCCCTCCGAACTATTAGTCCCTCATATGAAGGATTATTGTATCCTAAGAGAAGGGGTGAGATTATTTCCATGTGATTGATATCGGACTAATGTGTGAAATGTCCATTTTACCCTCATACTATTACTTAATAAACAATTAGAAAATAGTAAAATAGTCTTTTAAACATTTATAAATTATTTTTTTAGTGTTGTTAATTTAAAATTATATATTAAATAAAAAATAAAAAATATAAATTATAAATTAATATTTTTAATTTAAAATTATATATTAAATTATAAATTATAAATTAAATTTAATTAAAAATTATGGCCTTATAAATCAAATTTTTTTAGTGTTGTTAATTTAAAATTATATATTAAATAAAAAATATAAATTATAAATTTAATTTAATTTAATTGAAAATAATAAATTAAAAATTATGGCCTTATAAATTAAAATTTTTTAGTGCTGTTAAATTATAAATTACAAGAATAAAATAGTCTTTTGAACATTTATCTTTATCCAGTCTCTCCAACCAAATATTAAATTCACTAAAAATAGTCCAATCTAGATATCTAATTCCATGACTAAACAAACATAAGATACAAATCCAGTCCAGCCAAATAGTCCGAAAACAATCTTTCAAGTCAGAGCACCCCAATTCAATAAACCCTAGTACGAAGTCGTTTGTTGCAATGCTTTGAAAATGGACGGGGCCTTAACTAGAAAAGTGATCAAACGGGGTAGGAGTCAGAACATAGATTGAGTGGATGGGCTACTGATTTAACTACGAGTGAATCGAAATTGAATCATGATGTCATAATTATATGATAAATATATTACAATTTATAAGTATAAAAAATATAACTATTAAAAGAGAGATTTATTATAAATCCCATTTAGAGGAGTTATAATCCAATGAGTCCATAAAATTTTCTTATGTTCCATCTGGTCCTATATATTTACACTTGTGTTTTAAGAAATCAATTTTTTTCTTATTTATAATATTTTTTGAACTATTATACTCTTTGTTGTATTTTTGATAATATGTATTACACACAGTTGTAATCTTCCCTTCTTCTTTTTTTTTTTCATTTTTCTTTTTTTGGGCAATTTTTGTGATCATTGATTGAGGTTTTCCCATCAAAAATCAACTTAATTCAACAAAACTTCAAAATTCCAAGATGAGTACTCAGAAAAATCATAAAAAGTGGTGCCATCATCTTCGACGACCCAACATGCTTCGGAATAGAGAGCCTTCAAGACCTCGTTGTTGTCGCGGTGTTTGGGAAGCTTGTAGTTTCCCCTGAGCTCTGAGACCTATAAATATATTGGCAGCATTAGCTCTTTTTCTCCTCTCTCTCCTCTTGTTGTTCTCTCTCTGCTTCTAGATCGAGAACCGGCTTGATGATCCACCGACAATCATTATTCCTATGACGACTCCACACACACACTTTCTCTCTCTTTTTCTCTCTCTGACCCTATTTCTCTCTCTCTCTCTCTCTCCCTATCTAAGGAAGCAAACATTGCTCATGGAACAACACCTTATTTTGATTATTGGGCCATAAAAAATGCAGAGGTACTCTACTATTTGCTAGCTTTATTCTATTATCTCTCTAGCTTTCTCTGTGATAACTCACAATTGCCTTTGTATATTGTTCTAAATATTTTAGACGGATGATTATATGATTATTATATAATGTGAATGTTCACATATCACTGATTATTGTACAAGTTTACATAATTTTTACATGATTATTATATGGTGTAAATGTTGACATCGTATGGAGTCATTACTTTTGGATTATTACATTATAATGTGTTGCAATTGGTGTTGTGATCAGCATATCATTAATCAATGTTAATATTCACATTAAAATATAGTCATACTATCATAAACAAGTTATTTTGGTCACAAATATAGTATGTATATAGAGATGTGAATGTTCACATTAATTTTGTAATACAAATAGGTAGTCGCACCCAATGTTAATGTTCACACTTCTGTAACATTGAATGTGTGTATAGTTCCATCAGGGATGTTATTTACCAGCATCCATGTGTAATGTGAAAGTTTACATCAACATTTAGTGAGGGATTTTCAGAAAGTAAATAATTTAAGATTTTGAAAATGTGAGAGATTTTTTTTGAGGAATAAAGAAAAGATTTCCTCCATGGAATGAGGGAAAGATTTTCTCTTTATTGATGAGGAATATATTTTCTCCATAGAATAAGGAAGAGAGTATTTTCCTAAAATGAGGGACAGATTTTCTCCATGCAATGAGGGTCTTGTTATTTTTTTATTGTGCATTGGTTTCAAAATAGAAACATGCGCAGAAAGTTGGAAAGATGGTTTGGTCAAGACCTAATGGAATACTCAATAAAAAAGATGGGTTAGATGGAATAAAAAACTTAAAAAGGGAATTTATCAAAAAATGACTCATATTAAAATTATAAAAAATACTAAATAATAGATCATTACAAAAAAAAATATTTTTTTAAATTTATTGTACTTTTTTATACATTGATTTTTAGTAAAAATAATTAACATAATATTGAATATATAGTATATATACTTATTACATTGTCAACAATTGTGTAAATGGCTTAATAGTTTGAGTGTTTGCTTTTTATGCACTTGGTTTCATGTTCAACCTCTCTACCTAACATATTTTTGCAAGAAATTTCAATTCTTCAAACCCAGCCGACTCTTATGTCGACACATGATTGGTTCGTCGATTATTCCGGTTGACCCGGCGTTTCTTTCGGTTTTCAAATTCTAAGCCGGTTTTGAGTATAGTCTGGGTTTGGAGGGTCATCTAGACGGAACTGGGTCCGATCACCGATCCGACTGATCTGATCGGCCTACATTCTCAAACATTGGTTTGTCGAACCCTCCTATTAGGGGGTGAGGATGGTCCCATTTAAATCGGTGTGGGATGAAATTATGATCAATTTAGACACTATTTGGCATAAACTAAATAATTACACCTATTTAGATAAGTGCACTTATTTGAGTCACATTACTTCTCTATTTTTATGCACACTTTTCCATAAAATGTCAAAAAAAATATATTTATTTAAATCATTTTAAACAACCTCTTATTGTCTATGATTCATAAAAGTTAGAATTAAATCATTAAAATTATAGAATTAATTCAAATCAACCCGTTATTGTCCAATAGAAACATCATATTGGTGCTAGCTAGTTGGTTGTTGGACCAAGAAAACTATTACAAAATGTTTAAATAGATAACAAAACTGTACACATTAGAAGGTGTCCAAATTTTTACTAATTTTTTCATTTAATTTGATTTTATATCGAGTAAACAATTTAATTTGATATGAATTATTCTAATTTTTTTTATCATTTAAAAAAAAAAATTCCCCTCTATCGCCAATTTCGTTTGTCATCAAATTTGATGGAAAAAATCATCTACTCAATACTTCATTTTTTAAAATTTTTATCAAATTTAAATTTGAAGAAAGATTCAGTAAGTTCTCAATTTGATTAAAAAATTACTCTTAATTTGATGAACATTTAATGAAAGAATTATAAATGATTTTTGAATAATTTTTCATCAACTTTATTTGATGAAATAAAGGCCCAAGGATTAGAGATGCTCTCACAAGAAAAAAAACGATTGAGCAACTTTTGAAAATATCACCGGTGGGATTCATCAAAAGTATAGAAAAAAACCTTGTCATGCAGACGAGATTTTAATAAATCTATATTTTTATTATATTATTTCATATTTAATTATGAACATTTCAATTTAGTATAAAATATTGTTAGAATTATTTAGTATCTTGATTTGAAATTATTTAATTTTTTTATTTTATTAGCTTTGATTTTATTTTCTATTTTATTAGGTTTTAGGTCTTCAAGAAATATATTTATTATAAATAACGGTTATAAATCTTAGGGCTCTTCAGTTTTTTATGATTAATATAATTTGAGGTTATACTATTTTGCTCTAATTTTCGATTATTCTTTTGAAAATCAACAATTATATATATTTTGCAGTATTCTTTTTGAATCAACAAGTCTAGCAAAGAATCTTACTTCTGCTATTCATTCTTCAATCAATAAATTTTAAAATTTGTTACTATTTCACGTTTCAGTTACATTATCTAGATCAACATATCTCAATTCCAAATAAAACCAATACACCACATCCACAAGTACTTCATAGAGATGCCCATTAAATTGGGCTGAAAGTGGCACTAACACAGCAATGCTACTCATCATATTTCATATCACAAGAAGTTTTAGGAGTTATTTAGGATGACCTAAATAAGTGCACTTTATGTCTTTTTACGAAAAGATATGTAGAAAAGTAAAGAGATGATGTGATGGAAAAAAAATAAAAAAATAAAAAGTACGTACTTATTTAAGATAGCCAAACTTGCCCTTATTGTAAAATTACAGCTCAATTTAACCTATGATGACCAGCTAGTTAGTCGTCCACATATATACTAGCTATGACAAATTTAATTACATTCGTCCAGCACATGAAAAACCAATAATCATTCCCTAAACATCTAGTTTGAGAAGACAGTGGTGCAATAAGCTATATCTTACAATCCTAAAAATTACAGTCCAATAATTTTAAAATGGAGCTGAAAGGGGCTCCTTAAGCTTAAGTTGAAGATCATCTGGGGATTCCATAATGGAAGAAGTGCATGAGCATTGGCAAGATGTTCCAATGACGATGTCGGTCTTCTTCTCTTCACTCTCAACCACCCTGTCTTTTGAATCTCCATTCTCAACATTCTCCACCACCACCTCCTTAATCTCGGAAACTGGTTTCAATCCCTGTAGAATATAATATAGCCATTTTTATAAGTAGATCTTCTTCAGATCAAATTTATTAGTTAGGCATAGATACAATTATAGAAGCGCACACCATGAAGATATTAGAGGCCTCATCTGGCTCCTCTTTTTGAACTATGTCACCAGCTACTTCCTGTATGACAAGAAAGTTAAAAGGTCACAAAATTTTGATACATTTCTTTTTATTTGCTCTTTTTAATTTTCCCATAAAGCCAACCAAAGTACAAAAACAAAAGAATTAAAGAATCCTCTAACAAAGTGGTTGCTCTACTGATAGGCAACTAAGGTATTCACCTAATAGGGCTTAAAATTAACAAAATCATGCCTAAAATAAACAATATCGCAAGAGATTGAGAGCATTAGCTATAATATCAATTAAGAAAGACATGTTAGTAAAAACTTGAATATGAAAACTCAATTAGTAATTTGAGATCTCAAGAAGCAAGAAAAATAAATTTTAAATAACACATTAAATGTAAAAAAAAATTAAGGTATGCTTTTGCACTACGCCCAAATAGACTTGAGCTGCTTTTAAATTCTAAATACTTTTGAATATTTTTCCAAGTACGTAACATTGTTAAATAGTTTTATACTTGGTATACCGAATGCAGTGACTATCTATAAAGGTATTAAACAAATTTTCTACCTATACAAAACTTATTTAGATAATACTAAAAGAAGGTGGGTATTTTGTGACCGAGTTCTATTTACATAGGCTCTTTTGAGGACGAATAGCACAATATTGATATTAACATTATGTAAGTTATTATGGAGGTTGAAAGTGTTTGATAAGATCTCATTTTAGCTAACTAGGCCTAGCACAACTGATTACTATGACTCTTCTAAGGGTTTAATTTTAAGGAGAGGTTATAGATTCAACTCTTTCTAAAGGTGAGTTGAATTACGAGGCAAACACTTAATTCTTTGCAATGATGGGGGAGATTAACTTCTATAGGTATTAATCTAACAATTAATAACTAACTTTCGCCGATTAAAATATAAATTAAAAACAAAAAAAAACCTAGTAGAAGAAGAAGAAGGAGAGAGAGAGTGTGTGTGTGTGTTACCCGGGCAAGGGTGATTTGCCCTCCATTCAAGGTCCTAGGCTCCATCTCAATAGTGCAACAGGGGTTAGCCATTGATCAAACACAAACACAAACACAATCCCAATAATACTCTCATGCAAACAGATTGGGTTACAGCCCATCACCCTTCACAAACAACCTTTCTATCCATCACCGCCTCTATCTATCACTGCCTCTTCCCTTCCTTGTTATATATATAACCAATTGGGGCTGATATTTTCCGTCAAAGTTCACGGAGTCTTTTGAAATAATGACACAGAAACTAGAGGTCAGAATACAAAGGGAACTATTGTCTCATTCACATCCCGTGCATCTTTTTATTATTTTGACAAAAAGAAGAAAAACTTCATTTTCGCTTCTAGGTGTTTTTTATTATTAAAAGCACATAAATTCACGGGCTAAGCTTCTATGTGCTTTCAATTGGCTAGTTCTTCAGTCAGTTCTTCAGTCAGGACATTGATTCATCACCACCACCAGTTTTCTTTTTTCTTTTTTTTTTAATAGGCATAAATTATAGTGTAAAATTCACTTTATCCCCCGGTGATTGAAGGCTGGAGCACTTTAACCCTGTCGTTCAAAAATAAGCGGACAACTCTTTATAGTTTTGGACTAATTATAACTATTAGACTTTCCAATATTTAAACTAATGGAGAGTGTAATGCACTCTCCAATTTTGCGACTAGGTCTTTCTTTTCAAAAAAAAATTAATGTGAAATTAATATAGAAAAAGAGACCTGATTGAGACCCCCACTCCCCCCACCCCCACCACCCCTACACACACATGGGGGTTGGTGATTGGAGGAGAAGAAAAAAAAAAAAATCTGGCCATTCAGGACATTGATTCATCACCACCACCAGTTTTCTTTTTTCTTTTTTTAATAGGCATAAATTATAGTGTAAAATTCACTTTATCCCCCGGTGATTGAAGGCTGAAGCACTTTAACTCTGTCGTTCAAAAATAAGTAGACAACTGCTTATAGTTTTGGACTAAATTGTAACTATTAGACTTTCCATTTAAACTAATGGAGAGTGTAATGCACTCTCCAATTTTGCGACTGGGTCTTTCTTTTCAAAAAAACATTAATGTGAAATTAATATAGAAAAGAGACTTGATTGAGACCCCCACTCCCTCACCCCCACTACACACATGTGGAGGTTAGTGATTAGAGAAGAAGAAAAAAAAAAATTCTGGCCAATCACAGCCCACTGAAGATCCTCGGGTATCCCCAGTGAGGTCCGGATCATTTTTCTATAGAAAAATACATTTATACACTCTTCTTCATCATTTGCCTCTAAACCTTGAAAACTATAATCCTACAAATCCTAACCTAGATAGCCAGTCTTTTCCCTCCTGATCGTCATGGCCATCCCTTTTCTCTATCAGACCATCGTCACTGCCTCACCTTCGCTCCTCAACTACTGCCGTCGCCCTCTTTCACCTCCTAGACCATCGTCGTCGTTGCCGCCATCTCTTCCCAACTTGATCATCATTGACAGACCCTCTCTTCCCACAAGTCATCTTCCCTCCCTCAATCATTACTGCAGCTCCATGTCCCCTTCCAAACCATTGTTACTGTCCATGATATATAAGATGCTATGATCCAAAAAATATGAATTCTTTATGTTAATTTATTTCATGATTACATTGGATGATTACATGATTTGATCAATCCAAAAGATTCTTTGATTTCATTTTACATTATATACAATGCGTATATATATATATATATATATATATATTGTGTATGTATATATGTATTTGCTTTTGTGCAAAATATAATTAAATAAAAATTAGTCTAAAAAGTCAGAAATTAAATAAATAAATAAATAGATTTTTTTTTTTTTTTTTGGATTTAGAAATATTTTTCCCGAGTTAGTCAAGAAGTATATATGGGGTGAGGAGATAGCTAATAATTATTTAGAAGATTTAGAAGCAGAAGATCTAGAATTAGAAGTTTTGAGAAAAATCGACTCTTGGAGTTTCGAAGGATTTAATCAAATTGTTAATTTACAATTAATTTTCGAAAAAATAGGAAAGCTGAAACAAAAACCAGTATACAGAAGAACAAAAAAAGATTTAGATTAATTAATAATAAGATTAGCTGGAGAACAACTATGAAATATTGGGAAAAAAATAAAGTATTAACTATTTTAGATATAAAAAATAAAGACTATTAGATTATATCAACACAAATAGATAATATGCCAGCAAATATAAAAGAATTTAGAATACAAATTAAAGACTTATTAGATCTAGGAGTTATTCAACCCAGTAATAACCCTCATCGAAGTGCTGCATTTATGGTAAGAAATTATGTAGAGATAAAAAGAGGAAAATTATAAAAGGTTAAATGATAATATAGAAGATGATAAGTACAATATACCATATAAAAAGCAGCTCATAAATAGAATACATATAGCTAAATATTTAGTAAATTTGATTGCAAGTCAATGTTTTGGCAAATAAAAATAGAGAAGGAAAGCATACCTCGGACAACATTTTGTTACCCATAAGGACACTATGAATGACTAGTCATGCCTTTTGAACTTAAAAATGCGCTTTCTATATTTCAGCGTAAGATGGATAGTACATTTAATAAATATAAGTTTGTTTTGGTATACATAGATGATATATTAGTATTTAATCTAGATTAAAATAGTCATATAAATCATTTATATACAGTGTTAGAAGAGTTTATAAACAACAGAATCATAATTAGTGAAAGAAAAATAGTCTTAAATAAACCTCATATCGAATTTTTAGAAATGGAGTTAGGAGATAGAAAAATAAGACTACAACCACATATTGTGAAGAAAATTTTAGATTATCTAGACAAATTAGAAGATACAAAACAATTTCAATCATTTTTGAAAATTTTAAATTACACAAGAATGTACATACCTAACCTAAGTAAGATAATATGACCGTTATATAGTAAGACCACACCCACAAGATAAAAATATTTTAACCAACAAGATATAACTTTGGTAAGAAAAATTAAAGATATATGTAAGAAGCTATCCGACTTACAACTCCTATTAGAATCAGAGTATATAGTTGTAGAAACGGATAAAGCTAGTTAGGATGCGGAACAGTACTATTAGCTACACCTAGTAAATATGATAGTAAGAATAATGAGCGTATTTGTAGATATAGTCCTGGAAACTTTAAAGAAAAAGATATAACTATAACTAGTTTAGACTTTGAAATATTTGGGGTAGTATATGTATGAAATAAATTTAAATTATTTTTACACAAGCCTTTCACAGTTAGAACTGATTGCTAGGTGAAAAACTAAGTGATTCGCGATTCGTATTAGATTTAATTGCAACAATTCCGAAACAATCAAAACTAACAATCTAAATCATTTAACACGTACGAAAGTGATTTAGATTGTTGTTTCACAATTAATAAATCGACACAAAAGATTTTTACATGAAAAAAACCACAGTTGGAGCACCTCCAAATGTGATAAAAAAATCTACGGGCGAAAAGCCACTAATCAATTCATTATGAATAAAGAAAGAACACAAATTTACCAAATAATTTACCCAAACTCTGTAAAATTGTCTTTAACAATCCGTGTCCTTTCACCAACGCCTTCATCTTGGAATTGATCAGCTTTATGTCGAATCCACAACATCTATGTCGAATCAACGACCACAAGCAGCTTTGAACTCCTTCAAAGACACCACACTCGAATCTTCGGAATCCACCGAATAAGAACACTCTTGTATTGAAAAGATCAAACACACATCCCTTTGATACAACACGCTGAATTCATGATATAATCTCTCAAGGATATCAAAGGAAACAAGCAAAGAACCTCCAGAAGAAAACCATAAAACCCAAAAAGAAGATTTGGGAGTCGTACCCTAAAAATTGACTAGATCACATATTTATAGCAGTTAGATTTGTGATCACTACTTGAGCACAGGAATGGCTGCTCAAGTGGTGTGACTTAAATGTGCGTTTTTGAACAAGGATCTACGCTTGTGTGATAGAAAGTTCACTTGAGCGTAAAAACACAACTCCCAATACTTTTGTAGAGAAGCAAAACTTTTGAGAGTGTTGATTTTCCGCTCACTCAAGCGCAGCTTTCACTGCTCGAGCGGTCAAGCCAAAACACCAAGAAAAATTACAACTTTTAACACCAAGTTTATTCGTGGAATTGACAACACATAGGGACCTAACAATCTCCCCCTTTGTCAATTCTCGGACAAAACATTCTAACAATTTTTCCTAACAAACACATGTGCTAGGCACAACACCTAACAAAACAAAAACTACAATACAAAACCAAGCCTAACTCGTTTAGGAACACCTTGAACAAGCCACCTGTTAAAAACACAAACCAAAACTCTGGAAATAGGATATTAAATAAATATATATATATATATATATAGAGAGAGAGAGAGATAAGCCAATATAGCCAAAACAATAAATCAATATCCATATCCATCAAAGTAGCATCCCAAAAATAATCCTATCAAAAAAAAAAAAAAAAAACTAAGGTTGTGTGTGTTTCTAGTTGCCAAAACCAAAACCACTCCCCTTTTTTGTTCGGGAGAGACAGTTAGAAAAAACAGTATATACAGGCCAAGAGAGAAAAATAGCAAGAAACAGGAAATAAAAATAAAAAATGTCGAGGGGGCAAGAAAAGAAACACTGTCCATAAGTAGCAAAAATCACGGTGATGGAGGAGGATGGGACTACAGTTGGAGGAGAGAAATAATCTGTGCAAGTTGGATGGTAGTCTAATCAGCAGTCTGCTCAAGATGTTCGAGTCGGTCATCAAAGGCATCCAGGCGAGCATCCATGTGATCAAACCTCTATGTCAGGAACTGCTCAAACTGGTGGAGCTGGCCACGAATGGTCTGTGGACGGACATCAAGCTCCTCCGCACTAGCCACGGTAGCATCAAACTTAACCTCCTCAGCTAAGAAATCATCACCAGCAGTAGAAGGGCATTCCACAGACGACTCCCCCTTGACATGAACCCGACTATGAGAAATGGTTTTCTTAGTGAAGGGTTTGATTGGGAAGGAAACTCAACCTCATCAAAGACAGGGGTTTGGAGTTTGGTGAGAAGGCGGTTGATAAGGCAGCCATAGGGTAAACCTAAGGTCTTTTTCCCAAAAATAGCAATCATTTTTTAAATGATGAGGGTGGCA